CGACAGTTATAACTTACACAGGTAGTTTAGGACAAAATTTGTATCTAATTCTTTATTCATGTTACTCTAAGGTTATTCATACTTGACTGTAATGGTTGGAAATTATAGTTGCAAATTTCAACGCAACAAATAGTGTTTGAAGGATGGTTGGAACTCAGTTCAATCACATTAGTCTACGCGAATTCATGAGCTATAAAACTAAAACGAGATTCCATCGTGATGCTTTAAAAACAAGAAATTATGAGGCCTGTAATCTATTTTATGGTAGCTACGAAATATTTTTTTTTTTTTTTTTTTTTTTTTTTTTTTTTTTTTTTTTTTTTTTTTTTTTTTTTTTTTTTTTTTTAAAATCCTAATAAAAAAAAAATTTTTTAAAATTAAATTTTTTTAATATTTAAATAAAATGAAGAAAGTTCAAAATCTTTCTCACGTTTATTTCATTTGTGCGGTTAAAAACGTAATTGATATTTTCAAGAAATTTCATATTGATAAATCAATTCAAAAGACACTTTTCTACTTATAGTGACTTTACTGTATCGCTAGTGTAGCATACATTTCTAAAATCTTTGCCATAAATAATCATTTGAGAATGATTCTAAGACCATCTCTTAATCCTATAATTGTTTTCAAAATGCTTAATTTATAAATTTCATTGGTATTACACATAATGACATACATAACATAGTAAGCCTACTATTAGTAGGCTTACTATGTTATATATGCTTATTTAATATATAGGCATATATATCAATTTATATATATGCCATGCTACTATGTTTATTTAACAGATAATATTTGAATTATTGTTTTTATTTCCTCATTATCAATGAGGAAATAAAAACAATAATTCAAATTATTATCTGTTAAATAAACACAATTAATTTGTAATCAAAAACTTTTTACTAATATTCTTATTGATGCAAAATTTTGTAAACCTCATTCAAATTTATTTTGCAATAGTCTTAAATATCATTTTAACTATTACATTTCAACGAACCCTGTACAGTACATTAATTCAAAATATTTGTTTTTAGATAAATCAAAATCATATTATTGTACATTTAAAATAACAATTCACTTTACTAAAGAGGAAGAAGTTCCTCGTCATAAAAACTAAAAAAATTATTTACAATTATTAAATACGGTTTCTCTATTATTTAAGATTCCAATGATCTTTACGGAGCGACAAAAATAATACTCTAAATACACTTACCTAATTAAATTGATAACTGTTAACAAAAGAAAGCGATAGGTTGACCTCAATGAATAACTGTGACCATCTGTCCTCCAAAAATCGTGTTTCGTGTTTGAGTCAGCACGCGTTTCCGTCCACGTGTTTCTATTTATAGAATTCTTACTTTCTACTATCCTCTTCAAAATGTTTCACTTCGACGATTTTCAAGAACATTTTTGATACGAATAAAGACTTAAATCTTTATTTGTATCAATTTATATTTACCATTTTAGCATTATAAAAACATCGACTCAAGCTAAACTTTATACAGCAATTGTCATTTTTAAATTATTTCTTCTAATACAAAATATGGATCATTTTTATTTATTATAGATTACTTGAAATATAAGCTCTATCATTAAAAAAAAAAAAAAAAATTCAAAGCTTTACAGATGCTTTAAACAAATACAGAGAACGTGTCTATAAATCAGGATCTGCTACCATCTGCTACACGATTAAAAATCCATAAAAATTGTAATAATTTATACTTAAAAATGAATCATAATCACAATCATAATTTAGTATATTAACTAATTAATATGAATAATATTGAAACGGATTTAAATGAGTAAACAAAATTATAAAAATCAATTCAGCGAATAAATGATAATCGATTATATTAAAAATAAATTTTAAAAAAGTTAAAGTTAGTAAATTTTAATTTATAAATTTAGAAAAATATTCGAAATATAAATTATCATAAACGTCAACGTATTTTTGGAAGGAAATATTTTATAAAATAATAGAAAACAGTTCGAAATAGGCTTGTCTAACTTATCAATATCGAATTACAAGCAACGTTCATTACGTATAGAGATCCATATAATCCTGCAGGGAATGATTGTTGATCACGCTAATGTTATGAAACCTATTCATCTGTAGCCTAATTACCTTTATATTATCATAAATATGATGATCATATAATTTAATTCCATTTTTTAAATGAAGTAGTCAAAAATATTCCAAGTGATGAATCATTCTTAGCTGTATCATTTTATTTGAGAATAAGGAATATGATTTTTATTATTTTAAGACATCCGATATACTTTTCACCATAACTCGCATTTCATAATTTCAAAAATTGTAATAATATAATCATTTAAATTCGATTTTAATTTTAAAAAAAATATTACTATATTACCGAATTTAAATATGTATTACACTTATTAGTTTAGTTGCATATTATTTCCAGTAATCTGCAGATGGTGCGTAAATTTACTTCGCTCGATCTTTAATTCGTAAATAACTTGCTTATTTAAATAAAGTTAATCGACAAATTTCGTTTTTCTAGTAATAAAAGTGACCCGCCGTATAATTATGCAATTAAGATTTTTCGTAAGGTATAGGCCTACACAACATATTTTTAAACCTTTGCCTACATATAACGAAACCTTTCGAGTGACAAAGAAACATCTCTCACACCTGCCATAGAGGTCGATTACCTCAGGCAGGTAGATAGATGTCAGTGAAATGGGTCAGCACTTTTCTACATGGAAGCATACTAAAATATCGATTCTGCCGATGTGACTGATTATACTAAGAAAAAGAATAATACTAAATGGATTATAAATAATAATAATAATAATAAATTATGCTTTTAAACTAAAATGTGTTTCAATCATAAACTTCTTCCCATAAGGATTACAGTGAAAATCACGGCCAGTTTCTTTACGTTCTTAAATCATATAATCTTACGCTATAATAGATAATTCATTCTGTGTTCGCAGCTGCTCGAACGAAAATGAGGACCCCTTGACCTTATGACCTACTCTGTATACGTCAAGATCATCTACACTGTCTGGATAAAAGGTTTTGTACAGAATGCGGTTTCTCATTAAAATATTTTTTATCTTATTCCACCTTTTAATTAATTGAGATCGACTTTATTTTGACTACTTTCTATTAAATTTGTTATTCAGATCAGAATTTTGCGTAGGAGTTTGATAAAGCGCGAAATAGCATTTTATTGCTATTTTGTATTTCAATAAATACAAAATTATAAAATAATTTGATTAAAATATAAGATAAAAATAATTACTTGCATACAGTTAAGCCAATTAAATTTAGTTATTATGTGTAATTTTATTAAAATGATAAAACTGCTGTACATAATTATTTTTAAAAATATATTATATTTATCTCATTTTAAGACGTTTCGAATATTTTTAAAAATTATATATTAATTATGAATTAAATTAAAATGGAATTGGAAATTTCTATAAGTAAATTAAATGCTAATAAAACTCCATAATGTTAAATTACTTTTATAATTAACTTTTTGTAGTAACAGACTTGTCAAAAGAGAAAATATCGATCAAAGTGACAAATATCAGGTTTGATTAAACAGTCAGCTTAAAATAGGTCGAGAATCTATTCATATTGATTATCCAAGGTAAATTTGCCAATTAAAATGCAAATAAATTATTACAAAGCGCATATTGCAAGTTTTCATAAAGAGCAAACACATTTTTAGGAAAGATCAGTCAATTAACATGTTAATAAAACTATATAACTATACTTTTCCCTCTTAAATGACTTGGAATCCATCATTCATAGAACAAAAAAAAACCTTTAATTTAAAATCTCTTATCAATAGTCAATACATCAATAGTCAAATTAAACACGAATTTCATGTTTAAAAAACACAAAAAAATGCTGAGTTTTACATGACAAAAATTGCTTTCAAACAATAGTTTACCTGTATAACATTTTTGTTAAAATAATTTGTTTTTCATTTGTTTTTGATTATATTTAACAATTTTAATAAACAATGATACTACTGTAATTTAAAAGGAATTCCTAGAAGCAAAGTATAAACAACTTTAATAACGGTAGTAATAGAGTTAGCGAAGCATATCGCTGTATATATTCTAGATTAACGTACTCCATAACAGCAAAACTCTGTATTAGTTTACTTATTACCAATTAATTATATCTAATTAATAGATAAATATATAATTTTTTAATTCTCCTATAAAGCTTGATATTATTTTTATGGGTTCGATATATTATATTATCAAAATTAAATTTTTTATTCCATAAAATTATAAAAATTCTTATAAACATAAATAATTATTTTTAATGGAGAACTAAATCTGTAGAAAATTATCTACGTATTCAGTGACGCTTTATAGTTTCATGGAACCTAGGCAAATTTAAATTAGGTGATTTCAGACATTTTTTTTTTCGGGAAAATATTTTCTTATAAAAGATTAATTTGGGGCCCCCGTTGGTGGGGCCCCAGGTAATTGCCCCTTCCCCATAGAATAGCGCGCCACTGTATTGTACATATTCTTTTCCCGTGCGAATTTTAATCAGAAACAAATATTTTTCGCCTTTCACGTTCATCATCTTTTATAATAGCGTTAACTTTCGGAGAATTTTATTAGTCATAATACACATAAGCCTACAGGTATTTTTAGCAATTATTTTTATACCGAATTGTATAAAATATTATAAACTGTAGATATATTTATATCTAAAATCTAATTTTTTATATAAAAAAAAAATTAATGTATTGTATAATAAGGGAAAGAATCCTAAAATCGGATGCGGGATAAAATTGACCGGATCTATGGTCGACGCTCATATAACTGTGTGACACCGCCCAACTTTTATAAGTTGATTTTTGTTAACTTTTCCTACTCTAACGTACAAAATTTTGTTTACAAATTAACCGCTCTTCAATTTTATAAGTTTTTCTTAACTCTTTTACCACAAATCCTTGTTTAAATTAAACTTATTAATATTATAAAACAATACCTACCTGTTAGGCCGGCTTTATCAACGGTCGCCAGTTCAGTTCAGGTAATGTTTTTTGTCATTAATATCCGAACTTAAATCTGATTTGTTTAACGTTATGTTTAGATATATATCTGTTTTTTCGTTAAATTACACGATCAGATCATTTTCAATGATTTTTCGGGCGGCACTCGTCCGAACTTTTCATAAGTCACTGCCCCGTGCAAATCAGGTATGTAATATCGACTGTTACCTGACGGAACTTAGTCAAAGTCGAGGCGCCTCTAGCGGCCTATATTAGAATTATTTTTAACTGATTTTGTTTTAGGCTTCGATCATTTTATTTATATAAGAATATTTTTACGTTTATTCAAACTTTTGCTTTAATCAATTTTAATAATATTTAAATTGTATCGATTAGTATACTAAAAAGTAAAATGAGAGATATATCAGATATTATATAAGAATTTTGTTGTAATTTGTAAATGATATATAAAAACATAAAACAAATCAATTAAAATATCTTTTGGTAATACTTTTTACTGAAAGAAAAATAACAAAATAACGTCGACATTAATATAAATGAATTAATAATTGAAAATGTAATGTAGTTTACTTTTTACCCGTTTGGGCGCAGCACTTTACAAATTACTTTAACACGTGACAAATCAAGCAGAAAGGTAGCGCTTTGATCGTTATCGCGTGTAGTTTGTCTCTCGTTTACAAATGTTACCTCAATTTAACCTTCTTCCTTTCTCACGAGACGGATCATGGACATTTTTATCTATAAAATATTGATATTTAATGAAATTATCCGATAAATTAATAAATATTTTTAACCATCGATTGAAAACAATTGAGGCTTTATAATATTTTTCAATTTTGTTATACTCCACTATATGACATTTTTTAGAAAAACGAAGTTATGAATTAAAGAATAACGATAAAATTAAAAATAGTCCATATAAATTGAATATATCAAAATAATTATGGATAAAATAAATCAATAATTTCAAATTGTACAGGGTGCCGCCATCTATTAGCCGTGGATTCTACATACACATTCGATTCTAATACCGGACATCCTTTTAGTAAGTTACTTAAAGAAGATTTTGTTTTTTATAAAAAGAAAAAGGAGAAAAAAATAAAAAGATTTATCAGCGAGAATATATGTGTGTGTATATAACCTTTTGTAACAGAAATAAATCTCTTCGGCTGAAGGCGAATCGAAGAATCATGTAATCTTTTGGCCTATAGATGATATACATGAAGTCCTATAAATTTGTCTAGAAAAGTTTTATATGTAATTTTTTAGCTTTTTCTATTTTGCAATAACTAAGAGTCTTTTTTCTCATGGCATCAGAGTTCTGCCACACTAGGCATGAAAAAACTTCAATCTTATAACCTGAGAAGGAAACGGACAAGTCAGGAACCCAGCCATGAAAAAGTCAGAGGTTGTAACTAGGTCTCAAGTCTAGCTGATGCGTTTATTGTCTCTGCTATTTAGCCGTCAAATACATTGGAGAATGCAACTAACCATCGGGCGATTTAGGAGCAGTGACGTAATCATTGTCAGTGACTTAACGTAAGTTTACGGATCAACAGATCGATCGTTATCGCACTAATAGAAAGCTAATCTTGAATATATTTTGCATTGTCGATTGTCTGTGACGCAATAATTTTTTTTCCGCCCTGTGGGCACTAAGAGGGCTTCTTATTAGCAAGCCCATTGTGAGTTCGGCCAGGCCAATAGAGCAGACACAAATAGAAGAACAAAACGGAGAAAATATCAAAAAAATTCAAATAGCGGTAAACATAACCGTAAATGATTATCAAGATAATGAAGTCAATTAAAACTACATTATCTACATTACATTTCTTTAACATTTTACCATATTCTAATTACTAATATGTTCTGTAACAAATAACCAATTATTAAAGTTTCACTCGATAACAGATGGCATGTTAATCACATTTATCAATTTGAAATGTGAAGCGTATCGGTGAAAATACTCGTCAACGGTTTTATCATATTTGTATATAGTTTTGTATTTTATTTTATATCATCAAAGTAAATTAGATAATGCTTTTATAAATTTATTTTTAGAAAAAAGCTTCGTTCAAGTTTGGCACTCGATAATCCGGAAGAATGGCCGATAATCCGACATCCTCTGAAAAGTATCGTATAATTTAAAAACGGGGTTCTCAGAACATGCGTAGATCTTGTGAATCGTATGTATTCACTTTATGCTTGGAAATATATATATGTTATATATTACAGTAAGCTATATGAACTTGAACTACGTGAATATTGATTTTTACTTTCCCGGCTGATATATAACAGAAACAATATAGCGATCGGTCAAAAAATGATCCTCTCCAATACTTTTACATTTTTAACTCGGGTAACTTTGAAACGTCGAGAAGTGCAAAAAAAATGGGAGGTTTTTCTGTATGTATGGATATTAGTGTGTGGGGGTATGTTTTCATTTATTTCTAACAATATCATTATAATTATTATTAATGGAAAATAGTGATACAGTAATTTGTTATTTTTTTTAAGTGATAAGGCTATTTATTTCGCCTACATCCTTGATACGATATTTTTGCTCGTTGTAAAAGAACTGAACGACTTTGTTCCAGGGAGAAATACCATTCTTGTTGATTCACTTGTAAATTGGCTCTGGCACATTAGTTGCAAAATTTATTGACATCAAACTGCAAACGAAAAGTATATATATATTTCATTTTTAAGTTTTTCTACGCTGTGGTCAATAAGGTCTTTTTAATCATACCCATCATGTTTTCGGCCAAACCCGTCCATAATGGGATCGATCGGATGGCGGGAGACAAGGGTATATAAAAAAGAATACTTTTAATATGTATATTCGAAAAATACAAAACAGAACCACTAGAACATATGATCAACAGATAGAAATTAACAAAGTTCTTAATATGTTTTTGTTAAATGGTTACCCTTAAAAAGTTCTTAATAATTGGCTATATATGGCTATATATTTCTTTTTATATAAGTAAACTTTTAAGTTAAACTTTTTTATAAGTAAAACTTATAAAAGGATTGGAGGGGAGAAAAAGGATGCGGGGGTCAGTTATGCAATGGTTAGTGAACTGGATATTGGTAAAAAACATTTTGATACATTGGAAATTGTAAAATTGTTCAGGCATTATGGAAAATAATAGAAGTATTGGAATTTTATATTGGAAAATTAATTGTCGGCAATTTATCAATGTATGCTAAGACTTTGTTTTATTAATAGGTTCTGATTGTATCTGTTTTTATTTAAAAAAAAAGGATGTGGACCTTCAGCTTTAACTAAATATTGTAAGTAAAAACTTGGCCTAGAACATATTGGTTGTTGTAAATGTTAAGATGATGCTTATTCTTTTATTCATATGTTTATGTAGATATAATATTGTACCAATTGAAGAGGAATGAATGTATAAGTTATGTCCGAAATGCATATTGGAGTCAATAAAATTGAAATGATAAAACAGTCACCTTTTAATGTCAATTGTGGTCGTTATGACAAGTCTGGTTTTCAGCATGTTAATAGCCAATTGAAAATTTAAACAATTTTAAGTTTAAAAAGTCACAGGTTTTATTATTTAAATATAAAATTTTTACAATATTTGAAAAACAAATACTTGTAAACTTTTAATGTGCAGTATAAGCAGGTGGGCATGACGGAACGTTTGAAACTCCGTTATTTCCCCCACTTGGTATAGTAATAATAGTCGGAGCAGGAGGAGCAACGGCAGCATTCTGTTGCACAATTGTTGTTCCACGACAGCAATTACAACAGAGATAGCATATACACGAACAACAAGCAATAATTCCAACCACACATCCTATAATAATACCAACAATAGCACCTGCTGCAAGTTCTGAAATAAATAAATTATTTTTTAAAAATATTTAGCAAGATCTTCTAAGATAAACAACGTTACTTACTAGCAGTTTCCTGGCGGTTGTACGACGAGTTATCTAATCTCACTGCAAAGAAATTTAAATAACATGATACAAAAAACAATTATTTAATTCTTGGGATATTTAAAACATATTTGCTGTTCAACAAATTATTTATTCACGAGAAACGTCATTCGATTAACTTTAAATTATGGATACATTTTCGAATAACAGCAGTGGCAAATTTCCCATTAGGCCCAATAAGCCTGGGCTTGGGGAGCAAGAATTTAGGTGGACAAAAATTCAAAATAATAAAATAAAAAAGCAATTGTATGTAGAAACAATTTATAAAGGGAATTAGTGTAAAGTATAAACTTAAGCAGAAACAAAGTAAGATATATCAGTTGAGTAGTGTTAATGTGTTTTGCATAAACACAGTGGTACTACTAAAGATAAGTTTCAATAATAGTACTCTTTAGATATTTAAATAACTGTAAAAATATAATTATTGCAGTATTAAAACTATAAAATTGAATATTTCGTTATAAAACTGGCACTATTCGTTTGGGGGTTCTTGCATGTTGTAGATTTAGACTTCATATTTCTGCGCTACTGAACACCACTGAAAACTTTGGTATCGGAAAATCTAATCCATATTTTAAATTAGCATTTGCTGTTGTATCAAAACACCAAAATTTCTATGAAGAGTTGATTGTTTGGATTCAACAATTCAGTTTATTATTTTAGATTATTAATTAACATCTAATTACCAAGAACGGTTTCAATAATTGTGTGAAGAACTTTTATTACCTTTTCGAGTAAATAAAATTTCCTCTATGATGTCATGTCGTGGCTTAAAAAACATTAATCGTGGAATTTATGTATAGTATGATACGGATATGAATTAGCTTCGATTAAAAAGCACAGCACCGGACTAAATATCCAGCAAGCTTGGGACAGGAAATGGTCTGGGTTTCTGGACCACTGAATATATACTTATATTAAAATACTTAAATATATTTAAAAATTAAATATTACTTATACATACTTAAAAATACTTAAAATTTAGGAGTGAATATGTAGGTAAAATATACAATAATGGAAAGAACGAAACTGTTTTTAACACAACTTACGCCAGCAGTCACACTGGAACTGGCGTAATGCGACGAGTACGTCAAGGAAACTAAACAAAGAGACCCAACAATTATTTGTGACATCCCTTTGTTGAGAGGTGAGTGTCGGTAGGGTCTGACGAACAGTACTATCCATGCACTTAAATCTCCAAACATATTGACTGTACAGTGGGTGATCGGTTAACGAACATAATCCGTTCCAAGACTTTGTTCGCTATCCGAATTGTTCGTTAACCGATTATCGATTTACCATAGGTTTCTATGGGAATTTGATTAATTCGTTCTGGAGACCCCCAAAAATAAAAAATACTGTATATACTTTCTTACTACGTTTATTCATGTGTAATAATAAAACTACATATATACATGGTTTTGCATTTTTATTAGTCATGTTTTTTTCCGTTTGTGGAAGAATCTGTCCAATGTCGATTGCCTTTCTGTCTTCTTCACGATTTTTCAGAAGTAATTAATAGCATTGTAATTGTAGAGATCCCTAGGCCTATTAACCTCAATCTGGTTTGGATGCCATTTTAAGACCGCTGTTCTGACACTTCAAAAGATCTTTAATAGCAGATATCGGCATAAATCCGCATTTTCAGAAGAAAACGTAAAAGAATTGTTTCTGTCAGAAATATAAAAGGCTGGAATTACAAGGGAGAGTTTCAAAGTTCGGGGGAATACTATCCGATCAGCAGTAGCGTAGCGTAGTGGGGGCGGCAGGGGCGGCCCGCCCCGGACGGCACTTTTTAGGGGGCGGAAAATTTCACAATAAATAATAATATCTTGTAAGAATTTGAACCATTTTATTTCATATTTTCGTGCACCTACGATTCGGGCCGATTGAAATGAGCACGGAATACCATCCGGACGGTCCGGAATCGACTCGCCGTCCGGGGATGTCGTGCGCAACCTGTCAACCTTTTTTTTTTTGCTTGTACGATTTATTCGTATATATATACACCTTCAATATCCAATAGAGCTAGGTCACTTGCGTTACTCTTATCCAAGTCTCTCTAGTATATATATACACCTTCAATATCCAATAGAGCTAGGTCACTTGCGTTACTCCTACCCGAGTCTCCCTAGTCGCTAACTGTAACTGATTTAAAACCGGCATGCACTGCAAATTATTCTTCGCATTGCAAAATGACACACGCATGCGTCAGGAACTTCTGTTCGAACAAACCTCACCTACCGTCCGGGTCAGCGATTTTAAAAAAGTGGCAACACTAGCACGGAATTTTTCATTAGTTATTCTGCGACGAAACTGAATTTTAGTCTTTTAAATTGAGATACCTAAATAAGGGGGGGCGAAATTTTCCTCCGCCCCGGACGGCTGACACCCACGCTTCGCCACTGCCGATCAGTATATACTGGGTAGAACGTCGATGTCGATGTCTCCCGCGCTCCGAAAAGTTTCGAATTGTTGCCTGAAGAGAAAGGAAGCCCAACCGGTATTCGTTATTTTACGTCGCTTCTTCTTGTGTTTGTTCAGTGAAGTGTTCGTTATCCGAACATGTGTTCGTTGTCCGATCATAAAAATCTTTCGCAAAAGTGTTCTTTATCCGATTTGTTCGTTAACCGATCACCCACTGTATTTAGTATAGTGAAAGAAAACAAATTTCCCAATACTCGTGAGAGAGTTGAAATATCATCCGGTTTAATAAATGTTATGACTCTAGTCTAGAGGTCCCCAAAGTGGTCGATATCGACCCCTTGGGGTCGATAACAGTTCTTCAGGGGTCGATTAATACACGAGGGTCGAAACGGGGTCGATTAATACCAAAGAGGATCAATTAAACTGTCTAGGAAAAAATAGAATATTTCAATAAAAATTCGAAATACTGATATGATCAATAACATTACTGACTACNTAACATCAGAAATACAAAAATGATTTAATGTTTTAAATATTATATAATAGATTAAATATTTAACAAAAATTAAATATTTAATCTGGGGGTCGATAAAAAGGCAAATATTCTATATAGGGGTCGACTGGATAAAAAGTTTGGGGACCCCTACTCTAGTCTAAGATATGCAGTTGAGTCGTCAGTCGTTCTGTCCTCGAATGATTCAAACGAAGTGACGATAAGGCGGGGGCAGAACAAAGTCTATAAACATAAGGCCAAGACCCGATACCATTGATACATCGCGGCAGTCGCCATGTTGAGTCTTTTTCGGTGAAAACAAAAATCCAGTATATAAACTGCTTTAATATTTAACATTTATTATAAAATGTTTGCAGTATGCAAACATTTTATAATAAAGGTGGTTTTAATTAACTCTGTTTAAATTACATGCTTCTCAGATCAGTACTAGTCTATAGACTGTGGTAAAATTTTAGTTTTCTGACAGGTTGTATAATAACACTGTAACTTATTAAACATAATAAATGTTATATGCTGTTAGTGGACAAAAACGCACTTTAAAATTTAAAATAAAATATAGTAATTAAAATTAAAACTTCCTGTCATTTAAATTAATATTTCATAATAATTGAAAGTAATATAACAGTACAAATTGAATATTCTAAAGCAGGGGTGTCCAACCTTTTTGTTCTTCTGGGCCACATTGGAAGAAGTCATGGAGTTTTGGGCCAGAATTATATATAATATATTTGTGACCCAATCCTTAAATATACAAGTATATTTAAGGATTAACATGTTTAGATTGTAGTAATAAGTATTAAAACTTTATCACGAACAAGGATATTTTAAAAAATTACTTCTACAGACCCTTTCAATTTTTACTTAGAAATAAATAAATTCATTTATTATAAAGGAAACAAACAAAAATTTATTTGAAAAACACAAATATTTGTTTTATTTGGGTCTC